GGACAAAAACGCAAGACACCAAGAAACGCAACGCACCATCAGTCACCCGTGAATACCTGAAGTGTTGAGAAGACTGCATCAAGTGCATAGGCCTCTCAACGAAACTGTTTAAATGCGTAGTACAGCAAGGTGCAAAGTCAGCCTAGGCAACGCAACCGACCGTAGTCGTTCCCGGGCGGGCCAAAATAGGTGCCTCTTTGATCTAAATACGAACCCAGGGCGTAAGACCTAGGCCCAAGTGTTCAACCAGAATACTTGTTGACCTGCACCGACTTGTGGACATAAAATTATATTCAATTTCAGGTAAGCCTAGGTGACTGGATGGAAAAAAGCACAGACAAAAAAGTCTCTTAAAATTGAATCTTTGAGACTAGTGCGAAAATAATAGCCCAGATACGACTCGAAGTTATGCGCTGCAGCCGTGAGATAGGGGAAACGTCGTCTAAGGCAAATAGACATGAAACAAACGGTATTGTTAGTATATGAGAAACACTCAGCATATCCTGATAGGAGAAGACACAAAAAAAAACGTCGGCTGCCCTCTATGGAAGAAAAAGTGCGATCGTATAACTTCGAACCCAGCTATTTGAGTCAGAGCCAACTGCCATTAAAAGATTTACACGTTGCCATAGGTCACGCATCTTTCCCTACGCAGCGTTCGCAAGAATATGAAAAGCATGGAAAGGGACCAAATCCATACTAATCAAGGGAATCGAAGATTTTGAACAATACATATAAAAGAAGAATCAGAAACGCTGGAATCCCTCCTTTTGTTCGTATTAGTTTCAAGGCAATGTTCACAGCTGGTGATTGTAGACTATTCGGCATATGCGAAATCCACAACTACATGCGTTTCGACTCAGTAGATTGCAGTTTTTCCGAAGAGTAAGTTGAATATTGGGTTGTCTCATAATTCCTGTCGAATTTCTATTCAATTACAAATTCCTTCCGTCTAACAATAAGACCATTTCATTGCGAAATACGTTAGCATGTTGAAGTATGCTTCAAGTGCCCGCAAGCCCTTAACGGGTTAATCAAATCCATCAATCTAGTAATAAAAATAGGTCAGTGACTGCAATCAATGATTATGCTTTACGATCCTCAAATGAACTCTGTAGCAAGGAGGACAACAGAGAAGATCAGCGCTGTGTTTGACTCAGTCTCTGCTACTGATAGGGTACTGAGCTAGTGGACCAATCGCAACGGCAAAGACGAAACGAGCTATGAACTTCAACCTCATACTGGGCCTGCGGTCATTTTTGATGAGCGCCCCTTGCACCCTAAATTGGGAGTGCCTCCGCACGTTGCTACCAGGGTATTGTAGCAGATACCTGAGCGCAGCCGATGCACCAGCAACGCCATCAGTATGGCAAGGACTGCTGCAGAGTGAAGTTTTGATGGAAACCTTATGGTCCGGCCGACCATGAGCGGGAAGCACGCCTGATCACCTGGGGAAAACCCATTCTTGGATGGCAAAAGCAGAGTCTTCCCTAATCGGTCACCGGTGGAAATGAGTCATGAGTCCACTGCGACAACAACATGCGGCACGTCTTGATGGCTGCCTCGCAGCCAGGAAGCACCAGCTCAACCAAAGCCCGAACTCCGTTTTCTGAGAATATCGATCTCGTTTTATTGGATTCGCTAGGTGGCCTGGTTTGGGAACCACTTCAATGTATGAAGACAAGCATTGCTAAAGTCAGCGCGGGGGCTCGGGGCTGCGAGGGAATCGTCAGAAACGTCTCAGATCCTCCTTCCTCCGAATGTACACCAGACCTCACATTGCAATGCCAACTCACCACGTTGTGGGGGAGATAGCCAGGGCCACGATACCTCATCCACCATATAGCATTGGCATCGCTCTATCGGACTATCGCCTCCCCTGCGCTTTGAATAAGCATCTGCCAGAGAGGAAAGTTAACACGTTGACGACATTGTGCAGCGCATGCGCATCACACCTTGAGCACCGTGTGGGACCGTGTGCAGCGCATGCGCTGCACACACAAAATATTTATTTTTTTCGCGCATGCGCTACTTCTTTTCTAATTTTTTGCATCTATTCTATAGACTACACCATAATATGACTAGACACGGCGAGGTTCATTGAATGGTTGAATATGCTCCTTTTTAGCGAAGGTTTTCTAAGCCCTACGAATTTCCCAATTGTGTTCATTCCTAGTTTCCTTTATATTCTGATAATCTTGGTCATAAAAAAGAGCAGTAGAAGTAAGTACAGACCCACACATATAGCAAGACATATGTTTTTAGTGGAGCAACCGCGTCAAAAATAATTTTGAGGTTCACTGCAGCAAAAGCAACTGAAACTTGCCTTTCATCGCCAGAAAACGTCAATTCGATCGATTTTTCACAGTTGTCCCTTCTGATAAGTTTGACACATCGAATATCATTCTAAACATTTTGTTGCATCCGAGTTTTGGGTATTTAAAGCTCAAAATTCACGGATTTGATGTGAGGCGGCGGCGCCTGCAAAATCGCCGTGGTCCCACGCGGCGCAAAAACCCAAAACGCGCGTTGTCGTCAACGTGTTTAAAGATTGCGGTCACCCCAAAAACGACTTCTCCATATTCTTCAACCCCCAGTTTCCTTCATTCTGGGCTGGAAGCTTCCAAACGCCCACTAGTAAATGCACGCATATCAGTGACCATGATGGTGGTTATGCTATTAGTCAGTTGTTTCCCAGAAGAGATAAAACTTGAATAAACAAAAGTGTCGAAATTGCGACAGGAATTATGAGACAACCCAATAAAAGCAACAATCAAGGAACGTTGGGTATTTCACATTTGAAGTAACACAAACACTCCAAATAATTGAAGCAAACTGCCAAAAAAGTTATGGATAAAAAGCCAACAGTGAAGAAACAGAAGAGATGCTTGAAAAAATCTCACCACATTCTTTATGTAATATATATTAAACAGACGAACCTGGATCAAAAAGCAATATGGCGTTCAAAGCGCAAAATTCCACATCAGTCATTTTATTGTGGTACATAGGTACGGATAACTCCAGCAAAAAATCTTTCAACGTCTGGACGAAAAGCCTGAAAAAATAAATCGACACGCTGATAGAACAAAATTGAGCTACACCTTTCAGAAACTTACTTGTTCAAGGTTTCTTTGTCTACACCTCCACCCGAAACTTTATTAGCTTCCTTTGCTATTGAATCCGGATCATTGAGATCCGAGTAGGTCCCGTCGCTGTGAAATATCCTGGAAGGTGTTTTAGGATTAGCCTAACAATGGTCATGGTGAGTTCTTGCGGAGGTAAACAGAACTAGCCTGTTAGTTTGTAGCCCTCCAACACGCATAGTGATGTAATATTTTTCCAAGATAGAGAACGAAACGGAAAAACGTTTCATGAGGGCAACCTGAACAAGCACTAGATATTTGTGTCGATAGTTGTCAGATCTCCATAACATCACACCTTGTCATCCAAATCCAAAAGTGGAAATGGAGAGATGGAATTCAGAAATTCCACTAACAACGCAATATCAACTCGCAGGCGATCACGTCTAACTCGCTCACCAAAATAACATGCAGGTCTCATCGTCTAAAATAGCGTTTCACGTTCCATTCTGATCTCAGTCAAATATCCAACGTGACTATCTCACAAGAACTGACTTACGGGCTCTGTTCCGCCGAGAATGTCGCGAATAGAACTTGGACAATAGAAGAGCCGCCTTCTCTCGAGCATCTGCTCATAAGACTTCACCATCATCTCGATCATATTCCCTGATCGGTTGCCTTCCATTAACTCTTGCTTCATGGTTATTGATGGCTTAGCTGCAAAGAAGGCGATGACTTGAATGAATACGAAATGTTCGAGGAGAAAATTGGATATTATCCACAATTGGTAGCCAGTTAAGCAATGAAATAATGCTATCGTCAGTGCACTGGTTGGGGACGAACAATTCAAGAGCGGCCTGACTCGAGCCCACGCTGTATTGCTCGTTCACCACCGAGATCCCCAAGAGATTTTTCGATCCCAATAATGTAAGATTCCCTACAGTTGTGAAGGTTTGACTAGTATTGCATATTGTATGGGCAAAGCATTCTCAAAAATAAAGAAAGTCTTAGCGGCATTATGATATGCACTTATAAAAAGAGTGCAAGCACAACCTGCAGTCGAGAACACCAGCGGTGACCTCTCCATACTATCCGGATAATGGAGCAAAGTCTGGAAAATGAACAATGGTCAAATAAAACCGCAAAGTATAAAAAGTCTAAGCAGAACAAGCTGAGTGATTCGATCACAGAAGAGCAACTACCTACACTTGTCCTCATTCCAATCAGAACTTGCCAGATGGAATGAATATGCTCGCTGCCCTACCACCCATTTGGGGATGATAAGGCCCTAGTACCTCGATTCGACGCACCCCTGATTGAGATCTTATGGTAAGCAAAACATACAATAGTTTGGTAGCAAAACTCCTACTGTTCCTTTAGTTCTGCTGAGGTGTTCCCTGTATGGTGTTCAATATCGCGCCCACTAACATGAGGCCGTATCCAAGCCTTCCCTTAGCTAGGGGAAGAAAAGAAAAGAGAAAGATAAAGAGAAAGAAGAAAACAAAAGAGAAGACTAAATTTATTGGTTTTCAGCAAAACAATTCCCTTACTCTCGGTTCATATTTACTGTCACACTCATACATACATTTCCAATAAGCATCTTTCAGGGCGAATCCTGTTGGAAAATTGAAGAAAGATCAAAAGAATCCTTCTCCCCCACCCTGAAGAAGGATTAGACCCGCCCATGATGAGACATTTAATGGGAAACAGAGAAGTATGGCTGAACATCCTTAACGAAATAGCGCAGCGTGCGTGCAAATAATTCACAGAAGGGGATGTAAGAAGGGCCTTATAAAAATGTAAATGGCAAAAAATCACACAAACTTCAAAGGCAGCAGCGTCACCTTCGAAATAGTAACGTGCATTTCCGAGTGCTCTCCCTGACGATGAGGTGTGAGAAAATGAAAACAGTTGCTCAGCAGATACAGCTCTATAAAAGCAATTTATGGATAGGGAAGCATAAATGTTCTGTAATAAATGAGTAATCAACCAACGTTGTCGCTGTGGAGCTCAACAAAAAATTAACACAATCCTGTTGCAGATTTGCGCGATTTGTGTTTTCTCTAAATAAGACCGCACCTGTTTAAGAGTTTGCGATGCTTTCAATTATAAAAATCTTACTTCAACATTAATAAAGAAGTATCAGCAGAAAATACGGTTTCATCAGTAAGATCACCAGAAATTTCTTGCTTCTGACAAGACGGTTCACTTTGAGAACGCTTCACGGGCTTGGAGCCATAAGTATCCCTATGCAGTTGAACACCTGAAACCTATTAAGCTGATGGTGAGATTAAGATGCAATAGACGAACCGAAAGATTGGGACCACTCAAGTAACTATTATGTATGTGTATATGTGCATCATAATTGTAATGTATATTATATAAAGGGTGTCCCATCGACATTGCGGCACGTTTCATAACTTGTAAATTATCTTAACGTGGATGAATCTTCGAGTGGTTCCTCATAAGTCTTTGCCCGACGTTTACGCATTGAATTGAATGACATCTTTTCGATATGCTCCCTGTCGCAGTGAGTATGGCTCCCAGTTACTTCGTTATTGTGGCCCACATGGCATACTGGAACCTCTCCTTCAGAACTTGTCAGAGGAAAGGCTTAGCTCCTCTTGTAGTGCACTGTTCACTCTTTACCTTAATACAGCCCACATAAGATGAACCGGCGGGCCGAAATCGAAGGATATGAGAGCCATTTGTTTGAAGAAACGAAATCGAGAAGAGCACCATGAAACCAGCCCTGGACAATTTTCGCCCCCAACGCAGATGCTACTCTCGTTGAGGAGAAAGTTATTCTTCCACAGAAGAGCTGGATACCGTGGTGATAGGTGGTGTACTGAAACATTCAATAGCTAAGCCTTGTTATCAAGTTTATTCGCTGCTCAACAGATAGTGGTGGTGAGCGACCGATAGCTGGAACCTTACCCAGACCTGACATGGATTGACTGCTGCTGACGAAGAATTCCTTTCACTTTCATTGACTTTTGACTCACTCAATTGACTCAAGACCTCTTGCGTGCATCCTCAGAGTTTGAAATTGAGCTCTGCTTCATAGGAGAAATTTTGTCGTCGATGAAAACGGTGCCCAGACATCAGCCATTTTCGGCCTTCGATACCAGTTCTCCCAAGTCTGCTTTATGACCACTCACTATTTGACTGTGTTTAGAAACACCAAAATGCTGGGCACCTTTCTCAAGCCAACCCGGGTATTGCAACCGTTTCGCTTCTTCATGTTTTTCCTGAGATCCAAGATGTCAGAACTTGTGGGGCGGCCGCAACAAAGACTACTTATTGGTCTTCTCTTTAATGCGTGGTGCGCCTCGGAGCGGTTGAAAAACTGCGACTGATGCCCGACTTAGCAGTATGGTAGACTAACACCTCTACCGAGGTTTAGGTTCGTCATGAGATGTATAACGCGCGGTGAGCCGCGCGATTCGGCAAGATTATTCACAGAGGCTATAGGAAGTGAAAATGTGCCAGTCATACGAAAAATAGTATTAACACCCGCACAATGGAATCTCAAAACATGCTGCAAGATTTATGGAACACCCTGTAAAATGATATTACGACAGAATAATATGCAGAGATATGGACACTAACGAGAATACTAAACATTACTTTTAGTATATAGATGGAGACGTAGAAGAAAAAAACTGACGAGTTCAGGTCGGAAGAGAACGAATTCAAGAAAATCAGGGTTTAAGAGATATTAACAATGTGCTACTGAGAGGTGAATAACCGAAAAAAGTTCCAAGTATAAGAAAAGTAACAGAAAAACAAACATTGCATTTTTTTTCTTCTGTGCTTCTCAGGGTGTGGTTCACTAGGACAGAAAGCGACTTTTTCACGAAACATTGTTCGTGCGGGAATCTCGGGTCCACTGATGATCAGCGGTGGACCTGAGGTTCCCGCAGCGGAAAATGTTTCGCGCTGCGAAACGCGAAAAAGTCGCTTTCTGTCCTAGTGAACCACACCCTGCTTCTCATGCTATATACTGAGAGTAATATCAGTGCTCTCGACAGTACCCATATTACTGCATACTGTTCTACCATAATATCATACTACACATATTATTACACATAAAACATACGTAATTTTACTTGGACAATGGTCTCAATTCTTGCGGTCTTTCTATTGCATATTGTGAAAAGGTAAGACTGAAATCCCTGATAGAAAGTATCAAGTTTGTGAAACTCAGATTGTTGACATTAACGAAAGCCACCAAGACCGAATGAAAGCCGACTTGACCTTGTCAGCATTAGCACTATTCTGAAGCAATGTGAAACCAAAGACGGTGTAAGTTGCAATAATGTAACTCTCAATCTCGCTTCTGTTAATCAGTCATTCAATTTAGTTTGCAGAAATAAAGCATCTTAAACTAATTTAAATATTTAGGAAGAAGCAAAAAACATAATAAACATAACAAAGCATCAGTTCAAAATTTGTAGCTAGGGTGTAGAAAAATTGCGAACTTACTCCCTGGATCCATCCCCATTGACAGACATTTTTGTAGACGGCAGGCTCGACAATAGCAGCGATGTTCTATTGTGTAAAAAAATGTCATATAAGCCAATGCCAATATCCATAATCAGCAAATGACTCACTTTGATTAATAGGACAATTGAAATGCCCTTCGGAACTACGTCGACATGAATATTTCCTGTTTTCGGAAATAGTGCGACGAAAGAACGCGGAGCACGCAGCACATGAAACCACTCCAAAATGAACGCTGCCTCTAGGATCTTCACAAACCTAGAACTGACCCCAAATACATAGCATTAGCTGCATACCAAATATTATTTAAAAGATTTGGCATGTGACCGGTATAGAAGCCTCAATGGTAAACAACTTACTACACAAGTGCCATTGAGTGGACCTTCACGAAAACTCTTCGAGGGAATGTTTTCAGATATCGTCTCAGAAGACACGTCCAACCCTTCTACGGGCATGTCCAACTCCCTCTGAAACAGAAACACTGAGTGAATTCAGACTAGGGCCGCGGAAATGTTACCAGTCGACATCACGCAAGCAATCGTTTACACTGGTGAACACAGGTCCTGAGGTAAGACAGCACCCTGATGCAGTGATTTTTATCACATACATGGTCTTTTTAATTTTCACCTTTCAAAACACATCCTGCACCTAGCTCTGAAGTTTATAGATATATACTGAAAAAGTCTAAAAAATGGTTGGATAGGTAAAAATAGGTAAAGCAGCAGAAGCGCAAGATATAAGCCGCACATCAAGTATTTGAAGAGCACGGTTAGCCTAAGAAATAAGAAAATCGTAAAGATCTAATCGTAAGGCGTGGGAACAACTGGATGCACAAAAGTGAAGAAGAGTTTCAGTATCAAATAGATTTAAACATCTCTTCACACATCCCTCCCAAAGGTAAAGACTGTACCATGAAAACTAGATAGGAAACCGACAGGAAGTATAGGAAATGAGCATGAATCAAGACAAAAACAGAATCATGATTACAAAGAAAGAATGAGGGGTTCTCACAGATTCACCAAACTTTAGAATCTTGAATGTTTCATGAACTATGATTTCAACACGAATTGAGGAGTTTTTTGGACTTCGAATAGAATCTGATATTTCGATTTTTCACATACCACATGTTCACGTCGCAAGAATGCAATGGGATCCGACTCATCGTCTTCTGTAGGCATTTGCTCCAGGCGAGCA